GCTTCAATGACAAGCTCCAAAGCTGCTTTGTAATCGTTTTGTGCTGTGAATATCAACGCCATCAAGATCAGAGCACACGGCATCTCTGGATTCAATTCCAGCGCTCGCTCACACCACTCACGTGCTGCGTTCAAGTCACGCACTATAAATTCTCGACTCTCATCACCTTTTCTGTTTCAGTGAAAACATTGACAGTGAGTTTTGCGCGAAACCGAATGCTGTACGTGTGTCTACGTAATTATGCGCTTGAACAAAAGTATGGATATGATCGGATTAACAGTGAAATTATTCCAGGAATATCCATTGAACAAGACTGAGTACGATGAACAAGACTCAGCGCACTCTTTATCACTGATTCTAATCAAAATCTTCTCATCTACACTCCGACTGAACCGGAATAATATTGTTCATCAAAACTGCAAAATTTTTAGAAATTTCGTTCCCATAACCAGCATGCAGATTTATCGAATAATTCGTTGTTTACCACAGTAAAAGAAGAAAGTTTCCATGAAACGAAACCAAAGTGAAGCAAACAAACACAAAACCCAACCGATTGCATATTGACGTGCGCAATAATAACACGCCAAATCGTCGTGCTCGTCAAGTTTCGCTGCATTTTCGAACAGTTCGATCGCTTTCGCGTACATCTCTTTGCGCTTCTCATAACGAACCATTGTTTCAGCTTTCAAACTTAAATCATCCACATTCCAGATCATTCAGAGGATAGCCTCGAAGAGAACTCAAGAGAAACCCTCTTCTTTAAGTTTATAAATAAGAACCTGAATGCTATTGCATGCAAGAGATTCGCCCGTCCCGACAGCCAACTTCCTTTACACAACTCCACCGCTTTTTCTGTATGTGCCATTGCTGCAATAAAATCACTTATAATGCTTTTTCATAATCATAACATATATCCAAATAAAACATTACCACGAATCGATACAAAAGAAGGATCGAAAGCTCAATGTAAAATGATAGAATAAGTTGTGAGTAGTAATACTATTATCATAAAATAATAATA